TATAATTATATATAAAATAATCATATAATAATGCCAGACTTAAGGAAAAATTGGTACATTGAAATAAAGTGAATAAAGTGCTTATTCGTATGTAGGCTGCTGGAAAAGTTTCTGCAATCTAATAAGTTTCTTCCAATGGAGCCAACGTTCTATCATATAGTAAAATTAGACGTTTTTAACCTATAATTCAGTTGACAGTTTATACCCAAGCCAATTAGTTTTGTTTGCATAGTATTTTAAAAAATGTTATTTTGTGAGAAAATGGAAATTTCGCGTGAAAATTTTTGGGCAATGATTTTTTACGATTACAAATGTAATCTAACTCCTAAACAATGCATATCGACTTCATTGGTTTTTGAGGATGAAGTACCATCCAATAGGACTGTTTATAATTGGTTTGCCGAATTCCAGCGTGGACGTACCTTTCTTTGTGACGAATTCCTGTCGTCCATCTACGTCTGTCATTGTCACTAATGTTGATGCTGTGTGTGAAATGATTGAGCGAGACCGGCATATGACAATATCGCGAGATTCAGGCATCCTTATGCATTGACATGAAAGCAATACATACGATTTTGCATGATCACTTGGAGGGTACGGAAATTTTGCAGTCGTTGGATCCCACACAATTTGACTGAAGCTCAAAAACAGGCTCGTGTTAAATGGAGTAAAGAATTGCTCAAGAAATTCAACCGAGGTCGGTCAAATTTGGTCTACAACATCGTTACTGGGGACGAAACACGTATATATTCGTATGAGCCCGAAAGTAAATAATCCACTGTTTGAGTATTTCAAAATAAACCGAAACCAACAAAAGTTGTTCGTTCACGCAGTGCTGCCAAACAAATAATTGCTTGTTTCTTCAGTTATACCAGACATGTGGCAACTGTGGCTTTAGAGGATCGAAGGATTGTAAATACTGATTGGTATACAACAATTTGTTTACCAGAAGTCATAAATGAATTGCGTAAAACAAATCGAAATCGTCGCATCATCCTTCATCATGACAATGCCAGCTGTCACACAGCACGTCAAACCATTGATTTTTTTATCCAGTAAAAATGTCGAATTGATGACTCATTGTCCGTATTCATCTGATTTATCATCTTATGACTTCTTTTTGTTCCCAAACATTAAAAAGAAGATGCGTGATGAGCGATTTGAGTCACCTGAAGCTGTTGAAATATTTCGTACACTGATTTCTGAAGTTACAGCCTCACAGAGTGGAAAAAATGCTTCGAAAATTGGTTCGAGCATATCCAAAAATGTATCGATCTTAAAGGCGAATACTTCGAAAAACAATAAAGCCATTATTTATTTTACATATTTTTTTTCATATTATTTGCAGAAACTTTTCCAGCAGCCTACGTATCATTATAAAATCACTATTAGTTATGCCTTATTAATATATAAATTGATTCCAAATTGAATTAAATGCGAGTAATATTGCACCATAAAACATTAATTATATTTTTCATTAGGACATTTGTTATAAAAAAATTTACAAATTTACATATATATGTATATATTTACATATTTACATATATATATATATATATATATATATGCATATAAATATGTAAATAGGAGATGTAACTTTATCACTTTCGGACTCAAATTCGAAAAAAAAGAGGGTATCTCATCATTTATCATTGTTTTTTAAATAAGAGAACTTTTTCGTTGCCCATTAACAATATGTTACAGTCGATATAAATCGAATTTAAAAATATGAAATGATTCGTAAAGATGATTAGTTGGAAAGCAATAATTAATGTATTATTGTATTTTCAAGTTTTAATATTTTTCATGAGATTATTAATTTTTTTATAACAAATGTCTTAATGAAAAATATAATCTAATTAATGTTTTATGGTGTAATATTACTCGCATTTATTCCAATTTGGAATCAATTTATATATCAATAAGGCATAACTAATAGTGATTTTATAATGATACGAATAAGCACTTTATTCACTTTATTTCAATGTATCAATTTTTCCTTAAGTTTGGCGTTATTATATGATTATTTTCGATTTCTACAAAAAAAACAATACATAAGAAAACATAAAAATAAAATGATTCCCGAATGGTCGCGAAACTCTTGAAAATTGGTACTCTTTAATCAAGATTTCAGTTAAATATTGATTTTCTGCTAACGTTAATATTTGTCGGTATCACTTACCACCGTACCAAAATCTTTTTTCGCAAATTTCTGGTCGAACCAAATTTTCTGGTAGATTGGGAATATTATCCATAATGGCGCAGAAAATGTTAAGAATGATGGTAACTCCCCATGCATAGCTCGAATATATTATAAGCTTCTTTTTTTCATAATGATTTCCTCCTCTTCGATGCGAACGGAGTTCTCTATAAAATGCGATTTATGTTTAATCAATAACAATTAAATTATTATGCAATATATAATACATGCGTTTGAAAATAAAAATATCTTATCTCTCCTTTTAAAATTAAAGCTTTATAAAATAATCATAAAAACTTACACACAACACGCATATGCCTATAGGCGCATAATATTTTTTAAAACTTATGAAAAGGAGAGCATAAAAACCACAGCACAAGATATTATTTGTGATATTTAATTATCATTACATTAATAAAACATTAGACATTTCGGCCACAATCTGGCCATCTTCAGTAAATTCACAATATTCTTAAAACGCAAAATTACAAATATCTGACATTACTTTTATATGTCTACTACTTAACTTTTTAGATGTCAAACTAATGAGACAAGAAGGAAAAATTATCTTCGATATTTCTAAAAAACCTACTAATTCAGGGAGATATTTAATTTATTTTTCGAATCATCCGTTAGTACATAAAAAGGGGAGTAATCATCGGACAATTAGATAGAATATTACTTTTATCCCATCCAAAATTTCAGGAAAAAAACATCTCTGACTTAATTCACTCTGTGTATGTCTATAATGTATATCTATAATAGTAACTTGTTGTCTCTGTGTATATCTATAATAGTAACTTGTTATTTTTTCTATTCAGTAACGAGTAACTGTAACTTGTTACTTTTAAAAAGTAACTTTCTATTCCCTGGTGAATATTGTGTTGTACATGGTATAACATTACTTCCCAGTGAGAAATGACAATGGAATCGGCTCAATCGACATCAATGTTGATTCGACATTGAAATCATCAAATTCGACATCGATTCGACATCGATTCCAGTGTCATTTCTCACAGGATTGCGTACGCTGATGAAAAAATTTTGCTTAAATTATTCTACGTTTTGGAACATTTCAGCGAAATTGCTGAAAATTTGTCGCAATTTCACTGAAAATTATTTTTTCAGCTAATATATAGAAAAATCTTTGAAATTTCTCTGAAGATAAACTGAAATTTCTTCAAAATTTTGCTGAAATTTTGCTAAAAATAAATTTTTTTTGTTAAAAATCACTGGAATTAAACTAAAATTTTTTAAAACGCTGAAATTTTGCTGAAAAATGTTCTAAAACGTTAAATAATTTCAGTGAAATTTTCTCATCAGAGTATAATCATGATGGAAGTGAAAAAGTGTGGTCACTAGGAGCGGCGCTCTTACACACAATTCAATTGCACACGTCACTCACATTACCCCGTAATAATTTTTCACTGCTTAATGAGATTATATTATTTTAAATTAGTCAATTAGTGATGTAGGCGATTGATATACACCCGTGCTCATTTCTCGAACACATTTTCGTCACATTCTGCGCAGTAATTGGAATCCGCCATTTTATGCACACATACATATTATATAACGAACATGCTCACATATAACAACTGTTAGTTTAAACATCAAGTTTCATTTAAAAAGCGTTTAAAATTAATTAAATTAATTTTACTAATTAAATTAAATTAATTGAATTAATTACATCTTATTATTTCCATCGTGCATATAATATTATATGAAACATATTACTTACCTAACTGTCCACCAAATATCGAAGCATGTTACATTTAGCCAAAAAAAACTTGACAAAAAGAAGAAGTTGAAGATATATGCTGAAAAGATACAATTAAATAATGTGTTAATCATCAAGCATATATTAGAATGACAATTATTTATAGTTTATAATTATGACTATATCTATTTGTGAGATCTTCAAATTAAATGCTTCACTGTATAATTTCTATATTTAAATCAGAAAATTATCTACATGTAGAAATGTGACTCAAACAACACGAAGTCGACTAAAAGTCAACTATAAGTCAACAAACAGTTACTCATGTTGTTTGGGAAGTTATTGAATACGTAATGTATAATTCAATATTTAAATATTTGTTAAATATTATTTTATATTATTTGTTCTTTTAAAAATTTAATAATTTCCATTTTATTGAATTATTAGAAAAACAGAAATACGTATACCTAGACTACTAATTTTATGTATATATATATATATATATATATATATATATACACACATAGAATTTTTACTATAAAAATAAAAAATATTTTACGAAGCTACACATTATTGTATTATTAGATCATTCCAGGCTTACTTTAAAAGTATCACAACTTAAAAATGTTATTTCTTAGTTATTATTATTATGAATAAATTAGATAAAGATTAATTATCTCTATTAATTATCAAAAGTAAATTAATTTAATGGTTCGTTGCCAAATAGCACTTGTGTCTCTCTCTTAAGATCTTCAACAAAATTATAATCACCTTCTAAAAGAGTAATGTATTTTGAATTATACTATTTTTGTAAATAAAAAGAGAATCTTTTACAAAAAATATTTAGAATCAAGACAGTTTTGATGATCGAAATTTGAAGAAATTGTTTTATTTTGAATTTAATCATTTTTAGAGTTCTAATCAAGGTAAATATAAAAACTGTTTAATAATGTTTTGAGTTATGTCAATTTTGATAAATTATTAGTATTTGTATAATTGTAACAATTCGTATTTATTAAAATTTTATAAGACATCAACATCCTCATAACTTAAAAGGGTATAAACAATAAGAATCTTATTTTAGACCATATATGTGAGAACACAACCAATATGAATTAGAAATTAAATGCCTATACCGGTCAAAGCTGTATCTTTAATGCTTTATATAATTCAATGTGAATTATACACACACACACACACACACACACACACAGAGTATGTGTGTATGCATATATATCAAATTTATAGTTATTCAAATTGCGCGCCGAATTGATTTTCCGGACTGTAATTAAACTACTGTAATAATACCACGAATTAAATTAAATTGACAAGCAATTTTGGTAATTATTTAGTATAGGAGAGCACTCTCCGATGACCTTGATCTTGACATATGTGGTTAAGATCATGATCCCAAGTGACTTTCAAAAAGTTTTAGTTCGCGGTCGTCCTTCGTTAAAAAATTATTAATAAAAAAAGATTTCAAAATTAATTGTGTATTGTATTGTTTCTGCTATACATACTTAAGAAGATTAGAATATTAAATACTATTCTACATAGGTTTTTACTTTCCACGCGAAGCGATTCTCACTCCTCCACTCCCTCCGTGCTTAAGGGGCGCACGACTTTTATAATTGTACTGTTGCACGTGGGTTTCAACATTGTCCTGTCTAGACTCATCCAACTTTTGATACAATAATTAACAACTTTGATTGTTAATAACTTTTTAAAGAAGGACAACCGCGGGTTAAAATCTTTTACAGGTCATGACCTTGATCACATATGTCAAGGTCAAAATCATCGGAGAATGCTCCCCTATACTAAATTACAGCAAATTTTTAATAATTTAATACTCAATTAGGCGTCATATTATAAAGTTGTTAATCTGCTGTAAATTTATACAAAATATTACTTCGGCTGGGAGTAGAATCGGCTAGATCTTTTATATACAAGCGTCCTGAGCCTTTAGACTACCGAGGCAATTTTATACATGTGTATATATATATATATATAATTCACATTGAATTATTTAAAGCATTAAAGATTCAGTTTTGACCGGTATAAGCATTTAATTTTTAAAAAGAATAGTTTTGTTGCGAAAACAAAATAATAAAAATGTCATTTGATCATGTTTTTAAAAATATATTTTCAAAGAAGCTTATTATTGTTTGATTGCATTATATTATTTGATTATTAGTTAATAATTTTCTGTCAAGTTATAAAAAATAGTTTGTCTCCTTTTCTGACACTTAATTTTTTGTGTCATTTTTGAAAAAATGGGACGATATAATTACATATGCTGTACCTAGTGCAACGCAATATTTCATTTCAGCTAATCCAGAAACTTGTTGGCCAGGATATATAATCGCGTATGTGATGAATAATGAACCCACGTGTGCACGCAATGAATAACCATGTATATTCCGGAGTTCTGGCAATATGGAATATACTATGAACGTCAACAGTAGGAACGGCAAAGATAGTAAGTGGCACGCGGATATATATACTGGAAGTCTTGTCTGATCAGTGCAGGCGATCACGTCATATACATTCCGAAATAAAATGGCAAAGCAATAAGATTTTGGTGAAATGAATTCGCCAGTATTCATATACAAAGAGCCATCGGTGAGAAACAAGTATGTATTGGCAGAAACAAGTTTGCGACCACGTTCTTCTGCAATGCATGGATCACGAACAGTCAAAAATAGTTCGTCAAGTATTTCATCCCCGGAATCATTCTTCTGTTTGTTTGGAAAAGCGTACGTATCCTCTCCATGTTCGACGCATTGTCCCTTTACCGTCAAGTTATAACCATAAGGACAACAGAGTTGAATGCAAGTAATGTTATCTTTGCACTCTTCATTTTTAACAAAGATAACTGTTCTGTTGGAATCGTCGCGTTTGTATGATATGGAATTGTTCTTGTCTTCAGTTTTGATGAAATTTTCATTAATTTCTGGTAACGTGAAATTATCGATCTCTATCGAATTCGTACAGAACTCCATAGATGTCTGATTATTGTCTTCATGATTTTTTATTATATACTCACGAGACTCATATCGCATCGAGTCATTCTTGCAATTATTTTTTGTAGAATTAATACAAGATTCATATTGTATTTGATTTTTATTCTTAACAGATTTTTCGTGATTTGCACCGTGTGATTTGCATCGTGTTAGTTCCGCCTCTTCATTTTGATATTTCGTAGAATTTATGAGAAAATCATACTGGACTGTTGAGTTGTCACTTTGCTCATTGTCATTCATAAAATCTTCCTGAAACTCCGAGAACGAAGCAACAAGCAGAAATACAAAAACAAAACAAAGTACAATACTTGGTGAATACATCGTTAAATTATTGAAGCGTCGAATTCACAAAATCAACTTGGTTTTTCTTTGTATTATAAATAAATATTTAGCGTGATATTGTTAATTCTGGAAAGAAGCACAATAACTTCATTCTGCAACGTTTTGTCTGAAAAACAAAAAAAAGAGGTTCTTAGAGTAAGCATGCGAAGTTAGAAAGATCGATGACATCAAATGAAGAAGGTATCTCGCAAAACAAGTACCTTCATGGCCTTTCTTTGATCATGAATAATGACAAAGCGACAAGGAAACTTTCGTCCTTTTAAAGAATTAATTTTATCATTAGAGAAGTCCAACACGATCTCTTTAGAATTGTTATGTAATATGATTCATAAAAAAGTAATACAACTAGAAAGCGATACATTTCGATTTAATAATTAATTAGGAAGGAGAACAGTTTTATTTGTTTAGAGAGATTAATTCCACGTAGGCATTCCACGTACTGCATAGTGATTTTTATCCTAGGCTAATACAAACAAATATCAAAATATATACATATAATGTATAAAGTGACATTAAGATATTCCTGTTGTCGATTGTGTAGCTAGAAGTGAACAGCTTAGTTCACTTCCAGTGATAGATGGAACAAAAGTAGACAGTATTACCACACACCAATTACACCAAAAATTTATAAATTGTGAGCTGTATTGAATATAAATAAATAAAGTAGAATTAAGATTGTTAATACTACTTCTTTCATTACATTTTATATAATGCTGTCGTACTTGAATTATGATCACATCGATTAATATTCATTAATCTATCAAATTTAAGTTCCAGAATGCAAATTTTTTATAAAGTCTTTAGCTAATTTTTTCTGATGTCATTCCATATTTATGATTATTATTCAAGGATTTTATTATTGATCATACGCAGCGTATACACAATAAAAATTGTATAGTATAATTACTTTGCTTCTTTATCCAGTTTTTATTAACCGGTTTATATTAAATAAAGAAATTTATAAGAAAAATATTCTTTCATCTATGATAAACGAAAATCATTTTTTTTCTTCTCATAAAGTTCTAAGAATTTTTTCAGAATTTTTTATCAACTTTTTAGTACTGCATTTTCTTTTTTTTTTACCAACATGAGAAAATATGATATTAAAAAATTTTCAGAAAAATTCTGAAAAAATTCTGAAAAAATTCTCACTTTATGAGAAGAAAATAAATGATTTTCGTCTCTTGCAGTTTTTCTGTAAAGTTGATAGTATTTGAGTAAAAAATTATTCAATATTTGGCAATTTTTTCTAATTAATATCTTGTTAACTATTGTAAAAATTGCAAAATGAGAGAAGAGTTTTCGACTCAGTTTAGTCCTCTCTACCTGCTCATGAAATATTTGGCGATTATTTCCAAACACCCTATATATATATATTATTATATAGAAAGTTATATAATTATATATATTTATGTATTAAATATGTCCATTTATATTACAATTATAATATAATTATGTAAAATTATATATATAATTTTATATAAAATATTTCTTTTTTAAGCAAGAAAAAATTTTTTTTGTGTCATACACTTTTTTCCGACAAATATAAAAATCAGAATTAAACATAACATTTATAATGTTATGATTGATTTTAAGCTAAATACATGATGATGGATAGGATGATAAGTATAATACTATGTTCAATTTCACTTCCGCGATTCACTTCCCGGCAAATGATAGCGCACAAGTGTACTCAGGTAAGTAACAAAACAAGACTACTGAACGACGAGTTGTTACTGCCATTTATGGCGTTAAAGAAAAACAATTTATCGTACTAGGAATTTACGCATGTATATAGTATGTACGTAGTAATGATGAAAAAAGATACTATATGACAAGCTTTTAAAAAGATGGGAGTTTATAGATCAGTTCATAGATAATATTATTATATAAAAATAAATTATACATATAAAGGATCAAATGTATGTAAGATCTTTTACACCATCTAATTTTTTATATCAATTTTCAACTGAACTGCTAGAATCGACTGATAAAAGATATGCACACGTCTGTAGCGTAATTTTGCTTGGCTACAAGGTCATTTATTTAATACTGCATACATATGCATTACATATCTCAGTTGTTTTTCTTGCATGATTATTTTATATAATTTTTTCTATATTGTTTTACATAAAAATGTATAAAACAATTGAGTTATCGAAAGAATAAAATAACTTGGTTTCTGATGTACCGTATCTAATGTTGTAATCTATCTATGTTCATTGTTATCGAATTCTTATCTTAAGAATGTATTATGTCGGATGCAAAATTATAATTGATATTTCATCGCATGATGTTTGGTGTACATGGACAAGGATAAAGGATGGTGCCGTCCAAAATGATATAATAGCTAACGGATATTAGCTAACATATTCATTATCATAATTCTCAGGCTTCTCTTTGATATTAGAATCGTATTTCGAGTAATCGCTACACAAAAAACTTCTCGCATCATGTAAAATCTTTTATTAGTACAAAAATTTTTTAAGTGATTTTAATAATCAATTTAAGGTCAATAATTTAAAAAACGATAATTTTTACAATTAAAGAGCCACCGCAAAAATCGCTCGTTTTCTAGACCTCGATTTTTGAGTCAAAATGATTAGTCATGATAAGACAATAATCGCATAAAATTTTTAAGTTGAGCATATGACTGGTTTGCGAAATATACGGGATCAAAATTGTGCCTATCCTTCGAAAATATTTGATACTATTGTGTTTTTATTGCCCTAATATTCAAATTAAAAAATAGTTACAAATATAAAATCTAAATTCCAAAATTTAAAATAGCGGATCCAGGATGGTGAACACTAATATATTGTAGTTAAATATATTTCATGAATAGTTCTCTTGCTTATAGAGGTCCTTATTACAAATTCTGAAAATAACTCTAAAATCTCGTAAATTCCTCGTAGAAGATCTTCCAGTATTTTTTTAGTCATCCATCCTTTAAAAACCCTAAACCATTCCTTGACTCTTTTTTATAATCTTTTAAAAACAACGGATGTGAACAACGCGTAGCTCTTCGATTTTCACAAAAAAATCTTGTTTTTGGGTATCTGCATCCACCATATTGGATCCGCCATTTTGAATTTTAGAATTCAGATTTTAGATTCATAATCAGCAATCTAAAAGATCCCCGAGAAGCAATATTTGTTCAGATTATTTTGAATTTCGTAATATCGGGCTATATTGGATTCGCTATTTTCAATTTTAGATTTTAGATTTTACGTTCGCAATCAGCAACCCAAAAAACATTAAAATACTATTTTTTAACATGCATATTAAGTCAGTGAAAATACAAATAGTGTCATACTTTCTTAATAGCAACAGGCACCACTTCGACTTCTACATTTCGTAAACTAATCATATACTCAACTTAAAAATTTTATGCGATTATTGTCTCATCATGATTAATCATTTGGCACAATATTTGTTTCAAAATTAGTCCAAAAAACGGAATGAAAAAACCTAATTTTGCGATGATTCTTTTTCTATCTAATATTATTGCTCGTTTTTTAAATTATTGATCTTGAATTGATTATATACACGAGCAAATATTCATATTTTGTTTTGGAATAGGAAAATTTTCCATAATTTCATAATTTTTCGTAATTTTTGTAATTTCTTCTATTTTATTGTAATAAAAATTTTTTTTAATTAAAATTCGAACGATTATCTTTTAAAGAACTTTATTTAATCCTATAAATGCTCGATCTTTATCAGAGATAGGATTTTTTTATATTAATTACTACTATTTTATTGTTATTTGTAAAAATATATGTTATTAATTTGTATCGCAAATAATTTCCATACTATAAAAACAAAATATGTTTTCATAGTACTAATAACATAGTAAATATTAGTAGCAATTAATAACATAGTTAATATTAGTAGCAATAGTTAATATTAATAACATATGTTATCATAGTAAATTATTTGCAATACGCAAATTAATGAAAATATTACATACAATATTCTACAGTTATACGCATGAAAATAATAATTCAACAAAGAAAAGATGTCAATAATTGCTTACTGATCTTGTAAATTCGTTATATATTCATGATTAATATTTCTATATCTAAATATAATTATAATATTATTACATATTTTTCTGCATAATTTATATCACGTCTATTATTTGTGAGTATATTTTCATGTCTTGCAAACTATGTCATTATATATTTTAATATATAATGTAAATACTATATTGAAATAATATATTCACAGAAGTATAATTAATGCTACCCGGACACGCCAAGTTTTTTTCTTCACTATAATACATTGATAATTTTAGTCACTTCCAGTCTACCTTATGTGTCTTGCGTAATGAAATACTTGGCTAATTACATTTATTTTATATTCATTTTTTATTAAGAAGAATTTATTCAATATTTTTTTTATACACTTGGCATATATTTTTTCTTTTCTTTAAATACGTGTTACCTGACATCTTGTAAGTAATTAAGTTCAAAACATGATGAGAGAGGGGAGATTGTATAATAAGATCATTACATAAGATCATTACATAAGATTTAAGCCTTAAGCCAAAAGAAATCGATCAATCATAGTTAATTATTCTTCTTATATTCTGAGAGGATCCTCGCTCAGGAGCCTGGCTGAGGTAATATTTTTCGCCATCAATTTCTTATTTTCTTTCTTATTTTGTTTCTAATTTAATTTAGGGAGATTATTAGCGTTTCAGAATGATTGTGTTGAAATCGAATGTTATATTTTGCTCGCAATTATATCTGGAATAAATTGATTTAATAAAAAAATATATAATGTATTATTTGTAACATGCAAAATTTGACCGATCTTGGCGTTCTCTATCGTATTTAAAACTTAGATAATTACTTATTGTAGAAAATCCATAAAGCACAGATTCTTACATAACGTATAACAATAATATGTAAGCTAATTAACTCTTTAAAGCACATATTTCTTTTTACGTAGGATTGAGTTGAAATTTGTTACTCGGGAATTTTCGAGGTAGCTGATTACAAATCTGACGTCAGATTTTCAAAATTTAAAATGGCAGACCGATTTGCAAGAAGTGACCTGATCAGGATGAAACCGGGTACTCGGGGGTTTTCGAAGTCGCTAATTATGAATTTGACCTCAGATTTTCGAAATTAATTAAAAATGGCGGATCCAAAATGATTCGATCTGCCATTTGGAATTTTTTAATTTTGATTTCAGATTCGTAATCAGCGACCCAAAAAAACTTCTCAGACTTTTTTTTCGGCTAATTAGCGATTATTGATTACATACAATCACATTTAAAAGGGATGAATTTTTCAAGTTTATTTATTATTAAAATATTTCGTCAATAATAGGAATGTTTCTACGCCCA